TATGTATGTCTGTATGTATGTGTACATATACATACATATATATATATATATACATATATATATATATATATACATATAGAGTATGTGTGTATAAGTACAATGCAGTTTAATATGCTGTAAATATAATGTACAACAATGTAACATCTTCACATATATATATATATACGTGTGGAGAGAGAGAGAGAGAGAGAGGAACTTGGCAGTACGTGAATCTTTTGGGTGTTTGAGCCGACATATTGCGGACTTCGAGTCGCTGTCGCTGTCCAGACTCGTTTTTATTCCTGGGTTCCGAATTTTAGATAGACAAAAATGTACAGTCAAACCTATTCCACATATTCAGGCCCCTCCGTTAATACGACCCTCAGCTATACCCACAACCCTAAAGCCTAAAGCCCAAACGTGTCAAAAGTCGCAAGAGGACTACCATGCCCGGCGTGCAGGGGGGCCCAGTATGCATCACACTGGGTCGGAAGTCAGGCCTTCCTTCTGCTTTTAAGGGTTTAGGGTTTAGGGTCCGCGGGCTTTGGGTATGAGGGTTCGGGGTCCGGATGACTCTGCGAGAACGGTAAATCCTGGAAAAAGTGGGCCTTGAAACGCTGGAGTACTGTTGACGGCGCTCCACGGCTGGTGTGATCCTCCAGCCACCTGAATCTGAAAGCTAGTGGCGCCCAAAGAGCCAGCTTGATTCTGACAGCAATCCCCCAAAAATGGAGTCTTGAAGGTTGTTGGATCGTGGCTAATTACCATATGACACTTGTGTTGATCCTTCTCACATGGTGCCGAATGTGGGAGTCCGGGCAAGCTGAAGGCATGTTACTGAGCCAACTTGATGGACCGACCCCCGAACCCCAGTCTGTAGGGTTTAGGGTTTAGGGTTTAGGGTTTAGGGTTTAGGGTTTAGGGGTAGTGAAACTCAAGGATATTCAGGGCTTAGGGTTATGAACCTTAGGGATATTCAGGGCCAGGGTTATGAAAGTCAAGGATAGTCAGGGCTTCAGGTTATGAAACTCAAGGCTATTCAGGGCTTAGGGCTTAGGGTTTAGGGTGCCTTTCGGACTAAACCTCAGCCCTTGTTGTGCGTCAGGTGAGCAGGCCACCCGGATCGAGGGCTATTCGGAGGTACTTTTGATCTACTAGAGCATCTGTGGCTTCCAATGTTTGTAATAACATTCTATTGTACTTGTACTAATACTGTACACATCTATAATATTCATGCTATAGATTATATTCATATGCTATTGGCAGGATTGTCCGGGCCCCAGGTTCTGACCCTGCAGCGGCTGCGATTGATGATCGTCGCCTTTCGCGTTTGTGAGGTGGGAATCATCCAGCTGACATGAGGTTTACTACCTAACCTCGGGATGCATCAGCCTTAGAACTGCAACATCAAGCATCGGTAAACGACCATCGAGACAGTTGCCATATCCGTGCAACTTCAATCTGCAGTCTTCTTGGTTGTCATTCGCCTGCCCGACTCTTCGTCATCTAGCCACATTGCTCGAAATCTTAAACCCTAAACCCTAAAACAAGGGGTACACAGCCACCAAAGAAGAGTGCTCCAGGTTCTGCCAGTGGCCGTGGGGCTTGCACTTTGGTGCCTCTGTGGTCAGCTCGCCACGGCATACGCAGCCCGCCACTCAGGTTTAGAGTTTTGGGCTTGTGGATTTAAAGTTTAGGGTGTGGGGCTTGTGGTCGAGATAGTTGCAGGGCGCAGTCTTTCTGGTCTTTCTTGACCCATTGCCGTGGCTTTAGACTCTATCTGACTCTGTGTGCTTGGGGAATTGGTTTGAGTCGGGGTGTCATGCCCATGTTGGCAGAAAGTAGGATGTTTGTCCATGCATTGTAATCGTGAAGCCCTTTTTGGAATACACTACCTTCGTGTCGTCGGTTATTTCAGGAGAACCCTCTCAGCTTGAACTCGTACAGCTGTTGGGCCCAACAAACTCGAACATTCTCATGAAGCCTTGGGATTCATATGTGCCTGCACTATACTTCCCAGGTGCTTGAGGGTTTGGGCTCCCATGAACGGGGGTTTGGAGGTGACGCGTCTTTTGCCCCAAGGATCTGTCTAGTCTTTGCCAAAAAGTGTCTCGGTTTGAGTTTTGGCAGGCTTAGGATTCAGGGTTTAACATTTAGGTTTTCTGCATTGCATTTTGAGTTTCGCGATTTACGCGAGGGAGTTTCCAAAAAATAAGGTACCTTATTTTGGGGTCCTTATAAACAAGGATCCTACTCTTTCAGGTACTATATTAGGGGCCCCTTTTTTCGGAAGCCCTAAACCCTAAACCCTAAAACCTAAACCCTAAACCCTAAACCCTAAACCCTAAACCCTAAACCCTAAACCCTAAACCCTAAACCCTAAAACCTAAACCGTGGATTCAGGAGGCTCCGAGAAACCTTCGAGGGCTGGAGATATGCAGGTTGGAATGCTGGCGGCCATCGCTTGGGAGATGATCCACCCTAGGGCACGGTGGGAGCCTCGGTGGTTAGCGTTTAGGGTTTAGGGTTTAGGGTTTAGGGTTTAGAGTTTAGGGTTTAGGGTGTAGGGTGAATCGAAATTTTCCTTCGGATCCGGAGTGCCACGCTGCGTTATCAGCATGTTATTTTTGCTATCATCGTCGTTATCAGTCAATATCATCAGTTTGGCTATGTTGTCTGGCATTGGTAGTGTTTGCTGTGGGCGAAACCCCCTAAACCCTAAACCCCTTCAACAAGCTGGGTTTTGAAACCTCGACGACGAGACCCGAGGAGCTGAATTGCGTGGCTCTGCTAGGACTTTAGCAACCTCGTTTAGGGTTTAAGGTTTAATATTATAGGGGCGTAAATAATTACCTATACTGTTTTTTGGGGGGTTCCTTATTATAGTTATAGTTTAGGGTTTAGGGTTTAGGAGAGCACGTCATTGTGGCCGGAGCACGATTTCCCATCAAGAGCATCCCGAAGCGCCCCAAAATAGGTTGGCAGAGCGGGATTCACCATGTTCGCGAGCAGCAAAGTATTGGAATATGCAAAGAGTTGCAGATCCGGCATCCGCAGTTTATGCGGCCACAGCACCTAACTAAGTCGTAAGGTGACTAGGAACACCGTAGTCTTATACCCTCTGACAGAGACTGAGTTCATGGAGCCGGCAGTGACAAGCCTGATTGCATTCAATCTTCCAGATTCCGGTATCAGCCGAATTTAGGGGGTCTGAATAAGCAGCAGCAGTATCCACTTATGGACCCTGTCCCTATAGGATTCTGCCATAATATACCCCAAGCCCACCATCTTATCATCATTCCGGCAGCGCCTCGTTTGATGCAGCACCGCAGATCTCGCGAGCATAAACCGGAAGGGTACCGAGCCACTCCACTCGCATGCCGTGAGCCATCCATCTTCTTGGGGTGCATGGGTCTTTTGTATCGCACGCCAAGTCTTTCCATGTCAATTGAATCCCTTGGTTACCCTTTGCCGAGCCCAGAAAAGAATTTAGCTTAATCATAGGGCATGAGGCACAAATTATAGGCTGCAAGTGCTAACACCTGAAAGCCGGTAACGATAGCAGAGAAGTTTCAACGCCTGGCTTGATGCACAACCTTTCAGCAGTTAGCATGAAACTTCGACACGCTCGTTCAGCTCACGTGCAGGGTTTTAATACATGCCAGGTGTAGGTTTATAAATGAGTGGGCATATGCTATGTGGGTACAACACTGTCCTGGGTTGCATAGTTTTGTAGTATACGTTTTGGTTTAGCAGCACCTTCAAGTTGAATGCGATCATGGTTGGCAGTGTCTAACGCGAGGTGTGAGAGGAAAACATAGCGTGCCGTGCCGATTTTCTCCAATGTCTGGCAGGCCTTCAACCCGCCTCCTCAGCCAAAAACCCAGGGCCCAGAGGCCCAGAATCTTGATGCCACAAACAAGTCTTCGGGTGGACGCTGCGAGGCCCACGCGGGGCTCCTGGTTCTTCGGCTTGATAGAGCGATTGTGGAAGCCTCAGAGCAAAGGGCGGGAGGAAACAGTTCGGGATGCTCCAGTGGTAATCTGGTTGCTATTGGTGTTGTCTACTTGTGGTTTCTTGGCTTGGATTTCGGCGGGTTTAGGGTTTAGGGCTTAGGGTTTCTTGGCTTGTTGTGTGTGCAGCGGTGGCATGGTGGGATACTGCTCGGGCAAACCATCAGACTAGGGCCCTTCCTTCGAGAAGCGACGACAGCTCTTAATCATTGGGTGCTGTGAAGGCATGCCAGGACTCGGACTCTTGTGGGGCGACGTGAGGGCAGGTGGTGTCACAAAGCTCAGAAAGGACGCATCATGACTGTGCGACGGCTTCAATGTGCAGGATGATGATGGTGGTGGTGGTGATGATGATGATGGTGATCACGGTGATGATGGTGATGACGATGGCGGTGATGATGATGATGATGATGATGATGATGATGGTGATGATGGTGATGATGGTGATGGTGATGATGGTGATGGTGATGATGATGATGATGATGATGATGATGGGACTGGTGACGCATGCCGGGCAAACGCATCGCTCAGGCTGCCACATCGCGGGCCTACAACATAGTCTCACCACCAAAATCGTGCCATATGCCCTCATGGAAAGTGGGCTCCCCTGCCTGGAACTCTGTCATTCTCTTCTCACGCAGCCACAGCTCCCAACATTTGAAGTTGAGGTTGGAGTGCTTCCTTTGGCCCATCTACTACACCTTCACACCGCTGCACCTTGCGGACCGCTGAATGGAGGGAGTAAGTAAAGGGGGAGGAGATGACAGGCTGACGCTGGGGCCGGCTTGTCCCAGCCTTCTCAGGACACTTCCTAGAGGTTTGCGTCGCAAGGTTTCAGTTATGCCTTCATCAAGGTGGGGTAGGCTTGATCTGGAGTTCGGGACACTCGCAACCCATTTCCAGGACCCCACTCGAGACCACAACGAGGAAGAGGCAGGGGGCTAGGAGTTCCACGAAGACCCTTTCTCCTCCTCCTTCCCTTCATCTCTCTGCCCAGAGATGACACGCCTGTGTCTTGCTTTGTAGCAAGAGCAGTTCTGCTTAAACCAGGGGCAGAATTATTGACAAATGCTTCGGGTGTTATTGTAAAGCTGATGGTTGTGCTTGTGCTAATCGTTGCCGTCACTACCACCGCTGCCGCCACCCACTCTCACCCCACCCCCACCCCGACCCCACCCCGACCCCCACCGCCCCTACCCCCAACGCCACCGCCACCACCACCAGCAACACCACCACCGTCCTCGTCATCGTCTTCACCATCACTGATCAGCAGGGTTTATGTACCGCTTTCCAGCATAGTCTGAAGCGCACTAAGCTACTTGACTTGCCAACATCAACACAAGAAAGGCTCAAGCTTATGAAAGCTTAGAATCTGGAAAGCACTCATTCGGGCCGGGGAGCTTTGCGAAGGGCTCGAGTTCGCAGGCAGTTTGGGGTGTAGGGTCGAGGGAATTTTCCGGGCGCTGAAGGCGACCAACATTTGCCGTCAGGCTGTGCTGGATCACCTGATGCTCCCCGCGTGGCCGGACATCTGAGATTGCCGTGCGTTTTGGAGCTTCAGGGCTCTGGGTCTTCTGACTCATAAGATTCTAACTATTACGATTGAATTCCGAACCCCTAAACCCTCAACCCCCAAAAATCCTTAGCCCAAAATCCCAAAGTCGAAATTGCGAAACTCCGAAACCCCCACGCCTGAGCCCAAGCCCAAAACTATTCGGTTTCCCAAGCCCGGCAGCGTAGGTCTTGTTGGGAAATCATCCCTAAACCCTAAACCCTAAACCCTAAACCCTAAACCCTAACCCCTAAACCCTAAACCCATGGTTCCTCAGTCCCAGGGTTCCTGCAGAGCGCTGCAACCGCCGAACCCTGTTTGAGTGCTTTCGCGCCTTAGGACTTAGGTTTGAGCCTGTCCAGCTCCCTAAACCCCTAAACCCCTAATTTAGGGTTTAGGGTTTAGGGTTTAGGGTTTAGGGTTTAGGGTTTAGGGTTTAGGGTTTAGGGTTTAGGGTTTAGGGACCCTAAACCCCTAAACCCCTAAACCCGAGACCCCAAACCCTAAAGCTGTAGGGGTAGGGTGTGGGGTTTGGCGTTTCGGGTTTAGGCTTTGGGGTTATGGCCTGGGGTTTAGTGTAGGGAAGGGTTT